CTAAAATAGTTTTCAAACACAATAATAATAGACCTCATTTTGGTGGTCATACTATCCCCACTATTAGGTAATGTACATAAACAGTATCTTACTTACAATATAATTCAATATAGTTCAATTCCACATGCTACTGTCCTCTTATCAATATGTTGGTTCTCTGCTGTAAATCATTCCCAGAAATCAAGGTAATTTATACTCCCTGGTAGCTGTGAGAATTTCTTAAAGGGACCTTCCTCTCAACTGTATTGTGTAATCCCCTAAATTTATAAAAATCCCAGCAGGTCTAAGTTGGTGTTTAGTCCTGCTAGGCTGAGTGTAATCTATGTACCCAAAAAAGTTGTTCATTGAATTATATTTCCAACATTTTGGAGATCCAAGGGCTATCTTCTGAAGAAATAAAAATCCCACGAAACAAGCTTAGTGGACAATTATTTATTCTCAGAGCTCGTCAATTACCTCAAGGATCATCAAAGACGTTAACTACATTTGAATGGACTTTTTACTCAACACTTCCAGACCTTAGACTTTGATCTTTTATGAGTAGGAACACTAGACTGAACACATTTATATTGGAAAAACATTATTGTATTATTCACTTGCTTAGTATCAGACAGGACATTGTTAACATATGTTGTTTGAAGTTTTATATAAGTTGTTGATACACTTTTGTTGATATTTTTGCACATTATACACTAATGTTTTAAGTTTTGTTTAGCTGTAATGTGGAGTTTCTTGGGCAGATAATCTGACGGGATCAGGCAAATGGGGGGGCAGTAAGGGAATTCTTCAGTTGCTATAAGGGCATTCACATCTATCTTAAAACAGAGAGATATCTGGAGGAGGAATAGAACAAATTGTTCCCCTGGCACATTACTTTGTGTATGTATGTACCTGGTGCGTACAGTAAAATTTGTGTCTTTTTTTAAAAAGGAGAACCCAATATAACAGTGTTTTTTTTTTGTGAGATACCTCAATTCTATTATTATGAAGTATCTCAAAATGCCAGATGCAGGGGAGGGGTATCAGGAGACAGGTATCTAATTGTCTCATGAGTTCCCAGAGGCATCTGGAAGGGGCCACTGTGAGATACAGGATGCTGGACTAGATGGGCCCTTGGCCTGATCCAGCAGGGCTCTTCTTATGCTCTTATGTCAGTAAGATCAAGGCCTCTGTTTGTTCAGAAACAGGTATTGCTGTGCTCAGTAATTGTCACATCAAGGTAAACTGGCATAGGTTTATAACTTTGGCTAGTCAAAAAAACTGTACAATAATAACAACAAATAAGGACCCAGAAGATGTACTGGCTAATCTGTAGCCTGATGAGTCGAGGGAATGGGACAGGAGGCCTAACACTCAAGCAATGCTTCTTGCAGTATCAGGATTTTTGAAGTCTTCCAGTTGCTCTCTCCAGTGCCAAAAGACTGGTCCAGATGGTTTCCTAGTCCTACCCCTTAGCATGTTTTTAGAGAATTTGGGAGCTTCAGCAGGGGATCAGAGTGCCAACCTTGTGCATCCTCTGATAGAAGCAGTGTTCTTCCTATCTAGAGAAACAGTGCCCCAGCGAGAAGTCTCATGCACAAAGCCAAACCACTGAGAGGAGTGAGTCATGTGACCCCTAATAGATTGTAAGGTCACTGTGGATGTGTAGGAAAAGGATCTGGATCATTGGGGCATGCATAAGCACAAATAGCATTGCAAAACCACTATATCAGGGGTAGAGGCAAGGCTGTCAAAACCTCTTCCTATCGGTCTGCGGGCTTTCATGTGATTCTGTGAGGACAACCCAGAGTGGTTTTACAAGGTTCTATGAATCTAGTAGTAAATATCCCTTCCTACAGCTCGATGGGCATTTAGAGAGGTCACATTAGCCACTTCCCTAGACATTTCCCCTGTAGAGGTGGAACGTTTGGCTGTCACAGGGCAGCAGTATTAAAAATCATCCACTGATATGGGGGGATAGCCTTTGGCAAGAGCTACATTATCCGACTCTTCACAGTTACATGCACTGTTACTTACACTCCATTTTGGTGCTCTCTTATTCAGCTGTTTCTGAAATAGAGAATATCTATATTTATTTGTGTATGTGTTTATTTAACATATTTATATCACACTTTACAAAACAAATTATTAATTTATTTTATTTATTTATTTATTAAATTTATACCCCACCCCCCTAGACCATGTCTATTTGGTGAGGTACCTTTTAAAATAAAAACATGCACGATGCCAGACTTAATAGAATACAAACTAAAGATAGTAAAATATTCATTTCCAAAGGAGAGAACGTTATTAGGGTTATCAACTCAGGTAATAACAAAAATTTTGGGGAGGTGGTTTTGAGTTCTTCCATTTTTAATAAGAACTCACAGGACCTTCCCTATATACCAGCTTGGAACAGCACCTCATGGCCTTTTTTATGATAGCTGCAAGTCCACAGTGCCAACTGATCTGCTTCTACCCAAAGATCTCCCAGAATGGTCCCCAGTCACAACTAGTGAAATTAAAAAGTTCATAGGACACCTTAGAACTGGAAAGGCACCGGGTCTGGATGCCCTTCCTCTGGAATGGCTAAAGGCTGGCCCTGATTGATGGACACCTGTTCTCGCTGCTTTATTTACATGTGGTATCATGCCCAAAGGATGGGAAGAGGCCATAGTGATTCCCATCCATAAGAAG